TTTGTGAAAAAAAAGAAAAAAAAGGGGGGGGGGGTGGTAGTGGGGGGAAGAAAGGCTTTTAAACATCTAAATATTTTAATAAATCTGGGCCTAATATCTTTTACAGGAAGAAAAGGAGCTCCTCAGCTGACTGACTAGTCAGATGCTGAAATTCAGAGACTTAGGATACGTTGATGGCAATTAACTTCAGGTAAAACACAAAGTAGGAGTGTCTTTGACCTAGAGACTTGAAATGACAAATCTCAAATCTAGGGAAAAAATATTAATTACAAGTAGTTCTAAATCTGAGAAATGGGTATGGAACAATTTATGGATGATGTACTGAGATTCAGGACCTTCATAAGTACCTAAACCACCTTCAAGCAATACAGAAATCTTCATAAATTGCTGTGCAGGATCAACTATGATGTTTGATTTAATTTTTAAAAATAGAGATGATAGGAGAAGGATTTTCTGGTTTGAATATTTAATTTGCAATTATAAGAAATAATCAAACATTTAAGTGTATGTATTTTTTATGACACAATATATGTATGAAGATTTTTATCTCTCTGATGAGGTAGAAAGGCAAGAGATAATTTATTCCCCATCTAACTTTATAGCTCATCAGACAGCTGTGCAATTTATCACGTGGTTTTTGCTGAACTGCTTGTGTTTCAGTATTTTAACCTCCCCATCCCTTTAACCAGTGCTTTTCCTCTCTCTGGCCTCAGTTACCTTGAGAAAGATTTTTTGCTCCACATTTTGCAGATAAGGAATTTACAAATTCTTTCAAAAATGGTCTCAAGACAGGTGCCAGAGTGGTAAAGACTCAGTCCTTTTACAGTGACAATTTCTGACCATAAAGGTCATAGTCTTAACGACCACTATGCCATGCTCTTGCAATGCTTTGTAACCCTGAAAATGGGCAGATGTGCACTTCTTGGTGCTCTAGAAGGAGTCAGATGCTTGATGTCAAATGAGCTACAGAAAGGGATTACTGATATTAGGTAATTTTTCACAATTGTTGTACATTTGTCTATTCCATCCCATTCTCTGAGAACTGCATTTGACTCACATTAAAGACACCTGGATGCAGAGGCGGTCACAGGTAGAAGTAAGACAACTTCTATAAAATCTAGTGCCTCCCTCAACTTTTTATGAAAATGTCATTCAAAACTCTCCATGCTACAGGGAAAAAAAAAAATTAAAAAGGCCTAGTTTTGAGTGTCTGGAATGTAGTAATTTTTAACAAGGACCACATCTTATAACTTTTCACCTCTTAAAGCCTCATGCCTAGTTATGGTAAGGCATTGGTCACCATGACAACACTAAATTGGAGCACACAGAGATACAACGCTTCTGACTGAAAAATTAATTTTCTCCCTGTAAGAATTTTAAACGTTCTGTGGAACAGCCAAATCCTCATTATTTGCTTACATTTTAATTCTTAGAGTGAGAGAATTTTTTTAAAATCCTTATATCTTTGGCTTTTGAAATAATGGAAACATGTTCATGGCACACCTACATATTAAAAGCTTCTAAAACTCAGTAGCCAAAACCGCCCCCTCTGGCAGAAATGCTCCAAGGACGCAGTTAGATGACAGACATTAGGAGAAATCTACAGCTCCTCTGAAATCCTATGCTTGGTGTAATCTGAATGACTGGCTGTCGTCCTTACCATGCTGTAATACAGATCACCAGGTTTGCTCCTACATGCGCAGCAGATGTGCCTCTGTCACAAGAAGCGATGAAAATTCAGAGCACCATCAGCACTACCTCTAATTCCCCAAAAGTGCCTCTGCAAACATGTGTGCTTGTCAGCTAGGTAAAACCTATAGATTTACACAGAAAGAGCAGCACAACACATTGTGGGGGTGAAACTGTGCAAATCGAGCTGTTTACACGGTTTCTCGCCTTGGAAAAGTGAGCAAACAAAAACATCAGGAACAGAAGTCAAAGCTCCTCCTGAGCAAGACTGCTGCTGGCAATCCCCCTGTGTCCTGTAGGTACATCATACAGCCAACATATGTATCATCGTACAGCTGACATGCTAACCACACGGCACGATACATGAAGGCGCGCACACATAATCCCAAAAAAGGGCGGACAAGTTACAAACTTTTTTATCATTTCAGCGACATGACACCCGTAGATAACACCACGGCAACAGACTGTACATCCATAGAGTGACAACATAGCCATTTATCACTGTATCTTACATTATGAACCTGATGAATCGATGAGAAAGGATATCCTGCATTCTGGTTGGTCCAGATCTCACAGACAGAGGACTGCTGATATAAACAGAAAACTACATCTCATCTTGTAAATATTAATGCACCGTAACTGCCAAAAGGCAAGAATAATTAAGAAAAGGCTTGCAATAACATTAAAGAACGAAGTAAAGCAGCTGTTATAAATAATTTTTTATTTATTTGCTGACAAAATATTTTTTGACTCATTGGAAGGAAACACAGCTTATTCAGAGACTTTAGAAGAGGTTTCAAACTGTGAGTACAAGAAAACAGTTTATTCAGAAGCGCTCGTGATGTAAAGACAAAGTAATATAGACATAAGCGGAAAATGCAGAGAACAGAAGAAATATCGGTTACTTTCAGTTTTTGGCAGGGAAGGAGTCTGAAGGCAACATCCCAATTAAGTTTTGAGATTTGAATCTCTCTCTGTGGGAGACTTTCACAGGGAGAGAGGAAGGGAAAAATCTAACAATACAGCCAACAGGAAAAATATGTTTTCTTTGTAACAGCTACCAGAAAAGAATGCACTGCAATTAAATGAAGCAACTGCCCGCCATCTCCTTCCAACAACAGTTCCTTTGCATATAAAGATACAGATGATATTACCTTTGGTATTGACCATGACCCTGCTGTGTAAATGAAAGGCTTCAGTTCTACTTTCTACGTTATTGTATAGATGGTCTGTCGTAGCAAAGTAAGCATTCTGTAGCATCTCTAGCAAAAGCAACAAAACTGGGCAAGCAAAGCATTTGCCAGCATCTTTTACATATTTCCTTGTTTGGACACTCATCAAGAAAGCATCTGTGACACCTCAGCAAAAGCTAAGATAACATTTTACAGTAGCCAGGCAACTAAAACAAAGCATCAGATGTAGGATCTGCCCACAGTATCTTCAGCAGGCAGTAACAACGTGCAATAAACACACATTACAAAAATGCAACTGCAGCATCCAGAGTAGACAGCAATTAATATATCAGTAATTTAACAACAGCAAGAATATGCATTGCTGGTTCTTGTCAGCAGCAGGAGCAGTAATTTAACATGAATGCTCAAAAGAACCCAAAGAAGTGCAACTCTTAGAAATATGGTTCTTGCTCTTACCTTTTGTAGCCTGAGACCTGTCTGCCTGCTTGGTGACAGACTAGGTTATCAATCCTGGTTACTGTCAGGGCAGGCTGGAGTCCTCTGGACTGACTACCGAGCACTGCCAGACAGGCTGGTGGCTGTCTAATGTTGTAAATTGTTCTTTATTTCCTTCCTGATCTAAAACGCATGCATACACATCCCTTCCTCCAGCTTCAGTACTTAAGTAATTCTTCAGTAATTCTTCAGCTTTCCCAGATCTGGTTAACTTCTTCTCCTTCATCTTGTTTTCACAGTTATTTGCTTCTCCTTCGTGATATGCAGGCCACAATAGTTTGATATCATTAGCTAATAAAAACTTCTGCTTTGGTTCACTCTCCTACCTCTGCAACTTGCTACAAAACAGTTCTCCTCCATGTGGCAAACATACTCACAGTGCAAGGCCAGTAGCAAACACTGCCCCAGATACTTCTGCTGTGACATTATTAGGATATTGCACTGGTTGGCAGTAACGACCTGGGTTTTTTTTTCTGTTTGTCCAACAAACTGACTTCTGGCCATGCTCATCATTGTGATGACTACATTTGTTTGTCTGAAGAGATTCCTGAATGGGAACCCGTGGCAGGAGATTGTGCCTCCGCTTTGCAAAAGAAAAGTAAAAAAGAAGGTAATTCCATGCCAGGTGCATCACCCTCAAGCATCTGGTAATCAAGAAAACATACTGCAGTGGTATCTGGACAGACTTGCTGAGGTCCTGAACAGAGTAAGGTAAGGCAGCATGGTACCATATGCTAGCGGACATCTTATCTCTCCCCAGCACTGGCATGGGGTTGTCATGATGCTGTCATATTGTACAGCTGGTTCTCACCACCTTGCTATTCTGGATATAAAGGTGTATCCTTAAATCCTGCCTCTCCCAAGGACTTGCCTTCAGGGAGTGGTGTGGTGTCTTGGCCTGATCAGGTGAGAGCAGGGGACAGTCCCTGCAGAGCAGAGGTACATGGGGCCCTCCTGGCAGAGCTGCTGCCCTGACACAGTGATGCTGCAGTAGTGGCCCTGCTGTGCTGCAGCATCCAAATGGACCAGGTACATCTACCAGCTGCTTTGGTGCAAACTAAGGAATAGGTGTCATGACACTGCAGTAAGTGTGTATGCAAGCTTTAAGTTGCTCCATTTAAAAAAGTGCTGATGGTACCCACTTTGCCCCTCCCTCCCCAGCTCATCTTCTCCCTCTTTCACAGGTTAAAGCAGTAAAAGATAGGCTGCCTTCAACCCTTTTTATAAACAAAGGGAAACCCTTATTATTATTTTTAATTCTCTGGAGAAAGAAGGGCAAATAAAAGCGGATGCTTGCAGCATTCACTTGGAAGAGACAAATTCTGGGTCCAGGTCTCTGCTCTAAGGAGTGTGCAAGTGAACTGCCCCCACCATACAGACCTACCTCCCAAATTAAAGGTTTGGAGGATCTAGGCATAAACTAAATCATCTTTAAACACATGTGACTTGATTTATTAAATCAATAATAAATCAAGCAGATCAGCAGAGACAGAGAATTTCCCATGACTATATGAATGTCCAGTCAGAAGGGCAGGAGTGCAGAACTCATTACTCAGTACTGCACACATTAACATTTGAATGACTAAGGTACTGAAATGCAGCACAGAAGGAACATTAATATTATGAAAGGTAATGAAATCAAATTCAGAAGCTAACCTTTTCCTTGCACCACTGGAAAAATATTTAGGATTTACTATGCACATATTTATGTCTTCCAAGTGCTGAAATTTTAAAATGAATTATGAAATCCCCAGGAGAAGCACTTAAAGTTGCATATCCTTGTGCAAGAGGAAGGAATCAAGTAAAGGAAAACGGTTAAGTGATATCTGAGGCCAGAAAATAGCAGGTAGGAGGGAGACTTGGTGTTAGGCTTCTAACACTCATAATTTTCAGCTCCCAAAACTTATTCCCTCATAAGGAAGGAAAAGAATTGAATCTGTGCATGCACTTCCACCACAGTAAACACAAATACACTTGGGCGCTTAATACCACTAACACAGAGGTTCTATGAAAAAAGTGAGTTCAACAAAGAACATTTTCCTAAGTAATGTGGTAAAGGAGAACAAAAAAAAAATACCTTTGGCTATTGCTAATGTATGAAACATGGGCTTATCTCATCCTTCCCAAAAGATAAAAGCATACAAGTTGCATCACAAAATGCTGCTATCATGATGTCATTTTTATGACAGCTATAGATGTCCAGTGCATAAGATTTCCCTGTCTAGTCAATGTGGGACACAACTCTAATGGGCAAGAGGGGCAGAGGAAAGAGGAAAGGGAATGGTCTGCTCTCCACAGTTCCTGCCATCTGCATTCCATGATACAAGTGGCTGGGGAATGGTGTGAGAGGTAGGGAAATGAGGCTCTGTATTAGCCTCTCTCCATTCATCCAACTCCTTTCCCTTCGTAGCAGTTGCAGTTCTGATACGGTCTGCTAATCACTTTGTGACTATCTTTTAAAAGAATTAAAGACATTTTAATTTCTCCTATTTAACTTAACCTGCTTTATTTCCAGAAAAGACATTCACATAAGAAATAAGATATTTCTTATTTTTCTTGCTAACTACTTCTATGATAGAACACAATAGGGCCTAAATACTTCAGACACTTGTTGTAAAGTCAGTAAAGCCAAGCATGTTACAAAGTGTTTGCACATTTGCAACTGCTTCAAGTCTAACTACTCAAATATTTACTGGGAAAAAGTATAGGACAGCATATACATGGGTGTTCAATGTTGAGGGTTATGTTGGAGATAGGGTTTCAAAAGGTGAACAAAACTACCTAAACTTACTTTAGGTGTCCTTTCTATAGACAGGGAAGACTTGGTTGATAAGGTGAAGAGAGAAAGTAACTGTACTGAAAGTGATTAAAGACCAGTAAGATTGATCATGAAAATTATATAGTTTCTGAGAAGAAAGGAGGAAAGCAACAGAAAAGAATACCTGGACAGCATAGGCAGAAGGAACAGGAGCTGGGTGGAAGGCAGTCCTGATATATTCAGCACAGCTTAACAAACATCATTCAATGGCACTTTACAAGATGTCACAGACTTAACTAAACTAGGAGGAATTATCCTCGGAAAGCCATAGAAAATAATGAAAGGACCAAAGAAGGGCTAAAACAATATTTAATTTGGGGGAAAAGGAAGATTAGCAAAGTTATAGCCAGCCTCAAGGCAGGGATCAGAAAGTTACTAGAAAAGTTGTTTAAAAATCCAGTCACCATCCCTTGATCCTCATGGCCTACAAGGACTTTTGATATTGCTCCTGGCCACCTGAAATAAAGACTTAGGAATATGTGTACGTATGTGAGTGTATCTATAACTATGTATATATTATTGAGGATAACAAAGAAAAAGCATAATAATGCCTGACAGAGCTTCTATGGGCCAAGAAAAATTTAAGATGTTTATAATGAAGTTGCTTAGTATGAATTATCTCTCATCAAATTTACTTCCTTTGTTGGAAAACTGGCTGACTAGATCAGCAGCAGCAAGGAGAGGCCCAGCAGGATGTGGACATTGAGGGCTCTAGCCCTTGACCATGCCTGTGGCCCTTTACAGAATCTCCCTCTGTAAAAAAAGGAGGAGGTATTTAATAAACGTAGCATCTTGTAACACATAGGAAGGAACTTCTGTGCCATATGGTTTAGCTGCCAGTGAGGTCTCATCCAGTTTTAGCCACTGTACTTCAAGGAGGACGGAGGCACAATGAGAGGATCCAGGAGAGAGTAGTAACAAACAGAATTCTAGAAAACACCAGGGCATTGCCCTGGTTAGGTGAACACGGACCCCCAATGGTCTGTTCAGCCCTGAGCTGGTCAGAGAAGTTTGTTGGTGACTCCTGATCTTCTGCTGCCTTCTCCACCTCTCCCTGGCAAGACTCACTCTCTCTTGC